TGAAGTCTCAGAATGACAGAGGGGTCCTCTGAGCAGATCTCAATATATCTCTATGCTTATGCCTTCTGTGACCTGCTCTTGGGAACAAATGTGTACTGTAAACACACCTATGCATGGTGCGGTGTTTTTAAGTAACAACATTAAGCATAACCATTTCTGCATGCATCTGACAATAGGATAGTCAGGGCTAATCCATGCAACTGTTCTGAACAGAAAATAGACCGTGATTTAAAAAGCAATGATAGCTGGATCTCCTTGCCTGGTAAAGACAAGGTCTGGAATTCCTCCACTGACAGGACTGTTATATTAAAGGTAATGCTTACTGATGAAAGTTTGCCGGAGAGGATTAAAAGTGAATTCTAGATCTGCTCTCTGTGTTGTTTCTGAAGACAAGACATAAAAGGGCCAGTAGTACCAGAGAAGTAACAAATCTGCTGACAGTCGTCCCAGTAGGGATTGCATGTTCAGACTGTCTGCAGTGTTGAAATGGGCTCAGCATGAGCAGCTTTGCAGCTGATGCCCCATGCTGTGTTGTAAGAATGTGTCAAGAAAACTCCTCTAGTCTACATATTAGGAAACTCCTCTGCAATGTTTAATATGATCAATGATAGAAACTTACACAGGAACCTTTCAAGACTCGGAAAATCTCCCATGTCAGAACTGCATTCTCTAGCAGTATGGCTTTACAGGCAATGTGTTGAGATTCAAGTTTCTGAGTGCAGATTGTGCTCTGCATATAAATATATCAGTCCCTAAATGCTCATAAAAATCAGGCTGGAGGTGCCTTTGAGACCTGACAGTTACCCATCTCTAACCCATCACTACAGCACCTTTAGTGTGAAAGGTATTACACAGAGATGCAAAATCCCAGGCCTGTGCTGCAAGAATTGACAATTTAGTTGGATGTCTCAACACAACAGCTTACATACGTAGAATGGATGATATAGGGTCAGATTCTGCCACCCCGGTCAAGAGCAGGAGCTCATTCTGCAGTCTAGTATGTACCAGGAGAAATGCTGAGAGGGGGTCATAGTGGCTGTTACTCTGCTAATTACAACATAATAGATAATTACTGGAGCCAGGACTGTAGAGCGGTTGGATCAGATGTGGAGGAACTGCCTGTGGAAGAGCACCACATTTCTGCAGAATGCAGATCAAGAACACAATAGGGACACACACCCTGAGCACACTCACCTCCCACTCATTCCATTCCAGGCAGAAAGGACCAGCTATTGTTTAGTGCCCCGGGAGGACAAACTGCACACTGATTAAAACTCCAAATTTTCTGTTAAAGGCTTTGCAATGATCAGCTTGTATGACTGTAAAACTGCTATTTGTGACAATAGAAATTTAAACAAAGAAACACAAAATTGCCCTGTGTACTATTGATCTGTGTATTTTTTCTTAAAAGAAGGTAAACTCCACCATAGCACTATGACAAATGCTATTCTAAAAATAAATTTTACATATTTTAGGAACCTTCTGTGAATGTCCAAATCAGTGGTTTTCTTCAAACGCTAATATATGCCCTGCCACCCATACTGTAGGACCAAGCAATATGTGGCAATTGCATTCAATGAGACCAGGTGCTAAACCCACAAACAGAGCTCCTCTACAACTGCATGCGTTGTTTGGAGGATAGCATTGAGGACAGGAGTAGCATTTTTACCCAGAGGTGTTTTAAATGTAGCAAGGAGAGAAGCTCTCATCTCTGGATCATGGCTTGGAATCACATCCTAAGCTGTGGTGCCCTGAAGTCAAATTCAGAGCCAAGACTAGAAGCTGCCTCTGAAAAGCAATGTGATTATTCCTGCTTGTTCCAAGATCAGCACTGGTCCTACAAGTTCTAGTGGCCATCAGAAGAGATCACATGAGCTGAATGAAAATAAAGCCCCAGTAATTCTCAGGCCTGGGCATGGTACCTGCATAAAAAGCTTGAAGCTGCTGTCGTGTCATCTTTGATCAAATAAGCAGTAGGTTTCTACTGGTAAAACTATAGTGTATGAAAAATCTCACTTTATCTAAAAAAAAAAAACCAAACCACCACACAAAAAAATTTCATTTTTAAGTGGACAAATTCTTATTTTTAAAATGTCCAAAACAATCCATTTCCATTTCATTCTCTGCTTAACCAGCAGAAAAGAAAGGAAAAATCACAGAGAAAGAGATTTCAGGGGCAGTACTAATATATTTATTTAACTTCAAATTCCCACATGTTCAATAAAAAACTTCAGTGGATTATGGTGGATTAGCCTAGAAATATTGCTTAACTTGTATTTTGTTATGAAATCTTACCTCAGCTAAATGAATAGAGAAAGGCATTGCCTGTAAATATCACATTTTAAACATATATTTTTTATATCTTTTCCTATATTGTGGGAAATTTTCACTCTCATTAAACTTGCTTTCATACAAAAATTCTCTTGTTTTTACACTAAGAATGGAATAAAGCAGGACTCAGATCTGCATGGCTGTATCTCAGGTTATATATTTACCATTCTATTTGTCACTAGAGTTTGCTGTCTTGCCTTGTAAAACCCCATATAACTTTTGTCAGGGAACATCTAATCCTACACAAAATGGAAAAACTTGACCTCTTCCTATATATATTTGCAGAGCTGTACAAATCTAGGTTCTCAGCGGGCTGACGCTTTGCTCTCTTATGCAAGGCAAGCGATTGCTCACAACCCCAGCGAAGGCAGCATGCAGCTACCTGGTAGCCTGTTTTCTCATGGTGGGTCTGATCTTCAGGGATGCTGAACACCCATGGGCACATGCTGACCCCCTCACCTGCTTCCCTCGGGAACAGAAAGCGATGAAAGACCCTACTTCTCATCATGTTCACTAGCAGTGTTTTAGCTGTTGGCTTCAGAGGTCATGAAATAAGACTTCCCAGTGCTATCAAAGAGCTGCTCTGTACGTTGCAGAATAAGGTCTTGGAGTGACTAAGCCTGCAGGAGACTACCTGCCTGACAACAACAGAGTGCTTTTATGTGGAAGTGGGAGTTGAACATGTCAGGGAGAGGGTCTGTTTTTGTGGAATTCCTTTGCTCAGTGGATAAAACTTGGGCTGTACTGAGTGTAAGGTTATTTACTCCTACAGTACTTTCGCTGCATGCCAGAGCAGCAAAGTTCCCTGTAACCACCTATCAAGAGGCTTTACCTGACTCAAACTAACTAGTATTTTTTTAATTTATCCTAATAGCATCCTGAAGCCCCAGCAAAGACGGGCCAAAGTGTTAAAATATTTTTTGGTCTGAAAGAAACCAAACTATCTTCTGTAAAAAATTGTATTTCCTCCTTCAGGAAACCTCTTCAGAAACTGGTTGTTTGTAATGATTTGACATAGGTTTCCAAACAAACAAACTAGCAGATGCATGAAGTTTCCATTCACTTTCCAAACAATTCCACGGGCAGTGAAAAATGGCTCATTTCAGTGGAAAATTCCTTGCCACTTTCTCCACATCTCAGGTTGCTACAAAAGAAAGGCTGTTTTTCTTCTCTCCTACCCTGGTAATTCAATACATTTGTCTGGTACAACTTATGGTTGACAAAAAACAGCTATGTAAGAACAGTTATTAAGACTTCCATCACAGAGGAACTTTTTGGAGTTGTGAGAGTTTAGTTACAGGAACTGGGACTTTGAGAGATGCTAGTAAATTACTCCATGTTTTAGTAACCATTACTCTAAGACCTCAACCCTTAGAGCAGCTGCTTAGCATGCACATCGTATTATACCACATCTCTGTTACCTACACAGTACAGATTTTTACACACAGCATGGAACATGCAATTTACTGTTGGACAGAATAGCCAGGATTTGCGTTTCTGTATCTAAGCTTGCAGGCTCAGATTTTGAATGGTTAATCCTCATTACTCACTTCATATTTCTCTTGCTATGGATCCATAAGCTGTGAACAAAAACATCTGTCAGCCAGGTCCTCTGTTCCTCCCCCCCCCCCCCCACCCGC